GGGGATTTGATTCAGATGGGGAGATGAATGGAAGAATCCAAATAGTGTGTTTATCTGAGGTTTAGGGGGGCTTTTTTTTTTTGAGAAGACAGGGGAGTGGGAAGGCTCCTCTGGAAGATCAAAGACATTCTTAGCAACGTCCTGAGGGCAACAAAATACAGCGTCCTGGGAGAAAAACAAGGCCAGAACAGAGCAAAAAAACACAAAAAAAGCTGCTCAGACTAAGCCCCTCCCCTGCACTGCCGTCTCCCCCCCCCCCCCCGGAATCCAACCCTCAACCTCTCAGAGATTCACTGTTTACGTGCGGCGGCCCGGGATCCTCCATTTTGTCCGTGAGATATCAAACAGATCCAGCTGAGAGAGAGAGAGAGAACAATGGCGGCCTGCGAGTCCCACAGAAACATATTCATGTACAATAAACACTGTCACAGGAAATCAAAAAAATCTGCTCCACGGATTATTCCAGAAAGAAAGTTCCAGAAACAACACTCTGGCCGGGAGGAGGACGAAAGGTACGATTCACCCCCCCACCCCCCTCGCTTCTCCTTCCAGACCATTAAAGGCACTCCAGACTCTCGGAAGCACTTTTCCAGCCGTCCATTCCATCTATTCAAAAATGCTGCAGACAGAAACATCCCATTCTCCAAAACAACAAAACAAAAGAAAAGCGGGGAAGGTAATGGTCTGATTTGTAAAAAAAAAAAAAAAAAAAGTCCTATTTTCCACTTTTTTTTTTTCTTCATCAACATCTTTTTAGATCCAATTTAAAGTGCATGGATGAGGTAAACTACTTCTTCATAGTTTATTTGTCTCTTTTTTTTAATATTTAATCTTTTTTGTTTGTTTATTTTTATTTTTTTCATAAGAAACGAAGTCGCTTTGTTTCCTTTTCCTCTTTTTCTTGGTTGAAATCTCTCAGACGGGAACCATTCTGCCTTGCATCTGTTGCATTTGGGACAGCATTCCCTGGACGCTGGTCAGGATCTTGTTCTGGTGCGCCGCCAAGGTGATGCCTATACGAGCCATGTCCCTGCAAAAGGATGGGGGGGAAAGAGGGGCTTTTTAGGATGGAGGACAACAATAACAAACACTGATCCACATGATGAATTTCACAGCCTTCCAGTGGAAACTGGCCCGACAGTATAACTGCTGTATAAGGAATTCCACTTGCCAACACAGCAACCCTGATCCTCTCATCTTAATAGCCAAAATGATTACGAACCAGTGACGGAGACTGAGAAACATTTAACACATTTTCAAAAGATGTTACATGTTGATTCTGCTCCAATCGTAGAGGAGTTTAATAGTTTGATACTTTGGGGGAAACACGTATTTGCTTACTCTCATATCCGTTCACTGAATGTGAAGCTACAGCCAGCAGGCTAATAGCCTAGCTTGGCTAAAGAACAGCTAGCTTCATGTCGGAACTACACAGTCGCACAGTGTAGCACTTAACCCTTTGTGAAACCACAACTTGTCATTTTTTACTTTTATCTATTAATTAAATAAATGAGAAAGAACATTTTCATTTCTAAAATTTAGAAATGTTGCAGGGCAGATTATGTACCAGACTGTTTTTATGCTAAACTAAGCTAACCACCACTACTCGGCATACAGACATGACAGTGGCATCAATCTTCTCATCTAACGCTCATAAATGTATTTCACACAATATTGAATTTTTTCTATTCCTGTGTAAATTAAATATTTCCTAATTTCCTCTCAGAGTGAATTATATTGCCTTGTTTATATTGGTATTGCTGTTATTGTGTCTGTTTTTACCATGTAAAGTGCCTTTTGAGTACCTTTTTAAGCGCCATACAAATAAAATATATTATTATTATTATTATTACATATGCAAATTTCCCCACTGTGGGATCAATATAGGATTATTTTATCTTTATTTTATTCAATTTATTTCAAAATTCTTCAAAAGTAAAATGTTCTTTTAATTCCTCCCTCAGTGCTGGAATAACTCATGTTAACTACAGAGTCTCATTCTTCATCTTAGTCTTCCTCAAATCAGAGAGCAATTCAGCCTAATTCTTTCTACTACGGTAAAGAAAAATGTCCCAGTTCCTTAAAATGATTCCCTCACTGTAACAATAGTGTTTTGCTGTGTCTGACTGGCCGTGCACCTCCTTCTTTGTCACACTGCCCTCCATACTCACTCTTGTGTCATGTGGACCACGGCCTCTGGAGTGGTGTAGCCGGCGGCGGTGAAGTTGTCGCTGTATCTCTCCATGCCGATGGCCTGCAGCCAGTCCTCCACCGTGCCCACGGCCGAGGTCGCCTCGGGGCTCCCCGGCTCCAGCAGGGTGGTGTTAGGCCTGGTGGTGCAAATAGACAATAAAAGTTCCTTGTTAAGTGCTTTTGATCCACTTTCTTGCAACGTCTGGAAAACCACTGATTCATGACAACGGCAGAGACAACGTTCCAGGAATTAGCCTCATTCCGGACTATGACGCTGTAGCATCAGAGCGGCGCGCCGATATCAAGCGAACCATACCCACAAGCCATAAAAATGCTCCACGCTACATTTCTCTCCAGCTTTCCCCTCCTCGATGGACTCAGCAGGTCTGTCGGGGGTTCAGCTCTTGCTATGTGTCCCTGTTTTGTGGGTCCTACCAGAAACCGAGCCAAGCCAAACGTGGTTCCTCCCTGGGTGTGACCGCCACAGTTAGTTAATCCTTATTTTAAAGAAAACACATAACCCTCGGGGTGCACCGTGGGGACGTTTAACGCACAGCGGAGTTCCTCCACACAATCAGCAGAATGACCTCCCTCTTTATTCACATCTCCTTACTATTGAGTGTCGCAGCAGCGCCGTCGGCCGTGAAACATTTACACGGGGCCCTGCGAGTCTGAGTCGGTGGCGAGTCTCGTCCCGCTCTGCTGACTCTCACACACACTCACCCTGTCTCTCTTTATCGTTAGGATGTTGAGGAGAAGTGTGAGAACAGGATGTCAGACTCGTTAATAAGTCATCTCTACTCAGTAGGTGGAAAAGATTATGCATGAGGATTCCTTTTCACACACACACACACACACACACACACACACACACACACACACACACACACACACACACACATTTTACTTTCCCTCTTGGAACTGTAAAAGCTGCATTTATAGGTTTGAGTTCTGCTAATTACTCCACGAGGACTCCCCTTCTCGCTCTCACCGCAGCCGAGTGTGTGAGCGCACACTCGTTAAACTCCCAACTCAAAGAATCCCACCGGCCTGCGCCCGAGTCAGTAAACACACGTAGGTCATTCGTAACACGTTTAGCTGCTCGAGAGCAATGGTGTCGGACCTGCAGGGTCATGTTTGTTTTTAACTCGGCGTAACATCGTAATTCTCCCCCCCTGTTAGAGCGCCTACATTTCTCAGTGTACAGCACCATTAAAGCTAGTTTGCAAAGAAATCCATTATAGAGGGTGTTTGTGCTAAAAAGAGGCACACGTTGCTGGTAGATAATGTTTAATGGAGAATGTAAACACACCGGCGAGAGAATAGGAGAGCATGCGTTTGTGAGTGTGTGTGTGCAGTAGAATGTTGTGTACACAATGCACTGTGCGGTAAATTGGCTGCATATGTGTGTTTTTTTTATGCACATTATCTTTTTAACATCCCATTCATTAATTGAATAATGGTTTCTACAATTAATATTATTTAAGTGTTTGATTATGTTCATTATGATCAATGGTGCCAATTTTCTGTTTTGGAAGAGTTGTTTTAAGCTTAGTTTGTAGTAGTTCAGTCATGCAAAGAATGTGTGAAATACACTTGTATGATGGTGATATTCCTGAATAATGTCACCCATCTCTAAAATGATCCGAATTCCGAAAGAATTTATCAAATTTCAACATGACTGTAGTGGTTTTCTACTGGCAGTAAACCGTTTTTTAGGGACTCTTTCTTCAGTAAGAAGTAGTTCCCCAATGAAAACTGTTCATAGTGTGTTCTGTGGATTATCCAGAGTAAATAGGGGCACGGGGGCTGAGACCAGATCTCCCACTCTCACCTGACAGTGGTCTCTCCCCCAGTCCTCTTCAGGGTGTTGGGGTTGCGGATCAGCTTGTCCAGCATGTTGACGATCTGTCCGAACTTTGGCCGGTCGGCCCTCTCTCTCTGCCAGCAGTCCAGCATGAGCTGGTGGAGCGCCACGGGGCAGTCCATGGGCGGGGGCAGCCGATAGCCCTCATCAATGGCCTTGATCACCTAGGCAGGAGATCAATGCTGCTGTAAGTCACTTTGTCTCTGAGTTTGTTTGTTAAAAACAACAACCTCGATTACAGCGTAGCCATTTTTACTCATAGCTTACATTTTTTGTCACCTTACTTACGACACATTTGCAAGACATTTGTTCGTGCATTAATTCAATTCTTTATCATCATTAGTGCCACTAGAATTGTGAATTCATCGTGTGAATGAGAAAGGGGACTACACTGCTGGTGTTGTTGTATCACGCCTGACGGTAATTTGATTACATAACCATTTTAAAAATGATGTAGTATCTTTTCAAAAATGTTTGACAGTGCACAAGCGACTGGGAATTATTGCTCACGCTCCAATATTCCAACCTAATTCCAGCTGTGTATTATTTATGTTTGCCTGCATTAGATTTCCATTTCTCCAGACTTACGTCTTGGTTACTCATGTCCCAGTACGGTCGCTCGCCGTATGACATCACCTCCCACATGACGATGCCGTAGCTCCACACGTCGCTGGCCGAGGTGAACTTCCTGTAAGCGATGGCCTCCGGGGCCGTCCAGCGGATGGGGATCTTCCCCCCCTGTAATTGGAAGATTGGGCCGATTAATGAAAGCCGACAAGGTGACACACGGGAGAACCGGCTGAGTCGGTCGGACACATGCTCGCCTCCACACAC